TAAGTTCGCCTTGGTCGGCCCCACAGACCACATAAATACTAGTAATAGACTGGTTAGTGGGCGGGGTCCGCGTTACCTATCCTACCTATCGTTCAAATGTGATACTTGATTATTTTGTGGAAAAAATAGAATTTTTTTTTAATTGTGCCGTTATATCATGTCGCGTAAGTAGCCAAAGTTAAAAAATACTTCAGGAGTGATTTCATTTCATCGGTAAGTACTAAAACTCTGTATTTTCTAACATTTTGAACAATACAATATTATAATTTCGAAACAAAACTATTTTCTTGCAACTCGGTAATAACAATATACATTGGTTGCTAGCCATCGCCGTCGTCAAAAGAATAATTCGAATGACGCTCAATGAATTGCTTGCACTAGTGTCGTATTACACTTGGTACTGGGTCCGCGTGTTGTAATCAAATTATCGATATGTAGTAACTCTAATGTATTTGGGGGCTTTAAATCTAACCATGTAATTGTTCCATCGGGGGTGCCGCAAGGATCTCACTTCGGGCCACTACTGTACAACGCGTATCTCTACGACATACATACTTGTTTCGCGAGCTCGAGATTCCTTCTGTACGCAGACGATAACAAAGTTTTCTTGAAGGTGAACTCAATTACCGATTGTCATGATATACAGGCTGATTTGAATAGACTTTCGGAATATTATGTGCGAAACCGTATCAACGTAAACACAGATAAATGTGTACAAATCACGTTTACTCGCAAAACTAAACCAATTTCGTTTTGCTACTCGATTTGCGGTAGACAGGTGCAGAGGGTAGATCAGGTCCGTGATTTAGGTGTAACACTTGATAGTAAACTGTTATTTGATAAACACATAGACTTTATTATTGATAAGGCGTACCGGAGCCTGGGTTTCGTTATGAGAGTGTGCAAACCTTTTGATAATGTATGCTGCATTAAAATGGTGTATAATGCATACGTTCGTAGCGTACTTGAATTTGGCAGTGTTATATGGACTCCTAAATATAGTACTTACATAAATAGTATTGAACGCATTCAGAAGGTATTTATTAGACATATAAACTATAGAACTAAAAAACAGTTCTTATCGTACGCAGAAGCATGTAAATATCATCGCATGAATACCCTTGAGGATCGTAGAATATTGCTGGACATGACTTTCCTATGTGATGTGGCCAACAGTCGCCTCGACAGTTGCCTCCTAACATCATCAGTAGGATTAGAAGTACCCCGACGAATCCCTCGTTTCCCCATTCAAAGGGTTTTTTGTGTTCCTGTCAGTCGCACAAATTATGGCCAGAACGAACTAATTTCGCGCATCACTAGTCTTTATAATACCACCTATAGTATACATTGATATTTTCGCGAACTCAAAAACAGCTCTTAAAAATAAAATTCTTAAGAAATTAAATAATTAAATATTTAAAATTTAAGTTAACTTACTTATTAATAATTATTAATTTACCTTTTCATATACACACACACATGTACGCACGCACGCACGCACGCACGCACGCACGCACGCACGCACGCACGCACGCACACACACACACACACAAACACACAAAGACACGCTCTCTCATAAACAACACCTGTTCATCATCTACACAATGAAGAACAAGTCATACTACTACTAATGTATAATTATTTCACAGTCATATAATATACATATACTTTTTTACAACTTTTAGAGTATATATAAACATGTCAAAATTTATTATTAACGGAAGTTTGTAAGTTTGAAAAATGTTTGTGGTATCCTGTAATTGGCGTAGTTGTTTGGGATTGTTTATCTTTCAAATTGTTAATGTATTATAAGCTGTTGGATGCCCGAAATAAAATAAAATAAAAAAATAAAACTCTATATTTAGAAACCCGGTTTTGGTTTAGTTCAATTTTTTTTTTATTATAGCTGTAGGTACCATGTGTAAACAAATTGTTTGCAGGTATTTAAAAGCTAACAATTTTGATGACTGAAATGTTTGGTCCCAACACTCGCAATAGTTTTTTAAAAATTTTCAGTTTAAGTAAAAACGATATATTAATGGAAAAAAGGAAATATAGATAGAAGAGGTACAGTGTCGATAATTTTACAATACACTAAGTTCGTGGAGTATCAAATGAAGACTTTATAAGATTGGATATTTTATTTCCCTTATCTACATGATTCCTATCTCCCTACTTGCTTATTATACGTCACCTTCGTCCGCTTGAGTTCTTAGTTTTATCACAGGCATGATTTACATTTGCAGTTTTTGTATCGATTTTTTTAGTTTCCCACCGGATCCTTTTTAAAGGAGAAATGGGCTGAGCAAACAGGCAGCAAATGCTGGGTGCCTACTAAATGTAGCACCATAATTGTTATAGGCATTTCGTGACATCACATTAAATTATATACATATGAATAACAATCGAAAAATTCATTAAGAAATAAATTATTTGGTTAATCAGGTAATATATGACATGAAACTCAGAGTCGCATTCACAAATTATAGACCACATCTAAATGTGAAAACATTTCTGAAGCATTGTCAGTTATTTTTCGTCAAGTTTTCATGAAACAAATGATTCGCTTCTTCGCCTTCGGAAATAAGTATCTTCATTTTCTTGACAGGCTCGTCGACGCTATAGGTGTAGTCATGTTCAGCCAGTTTAGAAAAAGGTAATTGTACAAATATGTCATATTTCAGGGAAAATAAAGATTTTTATGATGACTGTGATTTTTATGTGATGTTTAATATTTCAACCCTTCCAGTGATCGGATTGACTTGAAATCTAGTAGGATAATGAAAGTACGACGACAGTATAATAAATCATTAATTCTGTGATTGTAGCACGCCTGCGTATCTAACGTCAATTAATATTTGCGTGTAGTAAAACCTTATGCGTATTTGATAACAAATGTGTGCGTGTAAAATAAGCTACGCTAGTTCTCAAAGAAATTGTTTTAAATGCCGTTTCTATATACTCCGTGGTTAATCCTAATTATATAGTATAAAGCAATGCCTAGTTCAATAATCCGCTAGTTATGAAACTTAATGTCGATATCAATTAAATGTCACATCCCTATCTGTAGATTGTCAACTTTTCGCTTTTGTTCCAAGAAGTTTATGTCCATAGGATTCTTAGCTTTTATGTGACTAGTAATAATAAAACCTTATTAGATCCAAATACGTTTCAATTTTTTTACCAAAAGTATTTTATTATTGTCTATATTCGTTTGATAATTTATAACCAATTAAAATTATGTTATCTTAGTACTAATGTAAGATTACGTTTTAAAATGTGTGCGTGTGGCGACACCGGTTTTGATACAAATGTTGCTTAATGCCATTTCCATTCTTTTCTTTCTTCCGTGGTCGGCCCATTCCAACTTGCCCGCTCACACTCGCCTTATAAATCTGTTTCGTCAATCGTCTTTCATTCATTCTCTGTACATGTCCGAACCATATAATCATCCATTTCATCTTTGCCACTATATCTCGTGGAAGACCACGCCGCAGCGCTGTCTTATCACACTGTTCCGTAATTTATCCATCCGAGTCACTCCAGCCATACATATAGTACCCGTGTTTTCATACTATTATTTTTGTTACAGCCTTCCTTTCCTTCGCCTTTCCATACTTTGTTCTTTCTAACTTCTTGCAATAAAATGCATGTGGACCGAGACCGATAAACCCATACTGTAGTATAGCCAGACATAGGTCGCTTCTGAGGTCTAACATAAGGTTATCCCTATTCACCGCGTTAGTTTAAATCAAGCGAGCTAGTTTTATGAACCCTCTCCGAAATTGTTAGCGTTTGTGTTTATTTTGAAAATAAATATTGATTATTTAAATTTGCTTACATGTTGATAGATCTCCAGTGAAGAAGAGAGCCTTCGCCTTAGCGACTTGTATGCAATGCAGTAGAGGCTTATGTCTCAGGTTGCTGTTGATCAAGGCCGAGACGGCGCCCAGTTTCGCCATGCCCAACCATGTGTACACGAACTCGGCACAATTGGGCATGAAGACGCACACAACGTCACCCCGCTTCAGTCCAACATGCTCTTGTACAACGCGAGCCACGCGATTTGAACTTTCTGCCATCTGAAAAAAAAAATTGTCCACTGAGTTTAATAAACACACACACACATATATATATATATATATAACCGAAAAGGCCATCTTTGTGCGACATATAAACTTTATTAAAATCATTATAGAAGTGACAATCGCAGGAAGCTAACGTAGTCGCGATACCTAGAACAATTTATACACAGCAGATAAAAGGAAAGGTCCGTGAACCCAGTCGTATAACTTAAAAACCATTTCAAAATTTCAAAATCTATTTATATTAATAATCATCTTTAGATATTATGATTATATAACATATAAACCTATAAATTAAATTATAAATTAACGAGCGACTTGAATTAAACATCGAGTAGCTACAAGGCTGAACTTGTCAGGCCGTATGTAATTGTTTGTAACTGTAAACATTGTACAAGGTTTTTTTTTCTATTTTCTCGCCAGATAATATTTTGTAAAACATGATCATCAGGGTGAATTAAAATTTGCCTGTACATGTGTCTGATATCGCATATGAAAACATATTTATAAGTCTGATATCGCATATGAAAACATATTTATAAGTTTTAAAATGCAACATAATATCGAATATGATTTCTGAACTACAGGTCCATTGCAAAGAATGTTGTTTGGAGATGGACATTTACCGGACCTTGCGCTCCCATCAAATACAACTCTTAGCTTTGTCGATAATCTTTCGGGACGAAGCACGGCATGATGAGGAAGAAAATAAATTGGTCTGTTTTCCGGTAAACAATTGTCCATGTCAATTATTCCAGCGTGTCCTAATGCCAAATAATCACTGATGAAATCTACATATAATAACTGGTAATCAGGATGTTTATCGAAACGTTCTTCCAAATTGTAGAAACGTTAAAAAAATATTGTAATTATAAAATGTACTGAAAATGTAATATAGAGATGAAAAGAAGAAAAACAATTGTAATTAAACAAAAGAAACAAAAAGAAAATTACAAAGGAAAATAAAGAAGTAATAAACAAAAAAGTAAGAAGTAACAAAAAAGAAATTGTATGTCGTTGACACTGACCATCTCAGGTCAGTGCGATTGTACTAATGACTTACTAATGAGATTCATATAATTATATATTAAAGCCTATGATCACTTATCACTCTACGACGCAAACTCATTTTCTCTCTTATGTTAAATTAAGTTGTCAAAAAACAAACAATGAGTCCAACGGTCATTCGTAGCCAATGTGGCGTCATTGTTATCAATGTCAAATTTTAATGTGAAGAAATTAATTAGCAATGTTATCGTCGAGACCGCTGTAAAGTGACATAAGAGCGATCAAACATCCGTTGTTTATGTCAATAAATAGACATTTTTTGAATAGTTACATTTATTCTGTGATAGTTGCAATTTCAATGTACGTCATCGTAATTTACTTGATTGTGATCGAAACCACATTACAATTTTATGTATTAAAATAATGAAGGTAGTCATTTTTTGACGAATAATAATATATAGACATACAGGTAGTATTTAGGTACAGACGGCAACACATCAAGCTACACATTTGACGGACCTTGTACTGTTGCACAGTACAAGATCCATATAATATGCAGTGCAGGTTATATTCGAATTTGATGTGCTGGTGCTGTTGATTGTACATAAAATGTATCCCTACGGCACTGATGGTTTTAAAATTATTTCCAAATTTAACAACAAATTGATTGAATTTTGATTAGGACATAAAACGCTTCGTATGCTATTAGAATATTTATTTTGTAAATATTACTTTTTTGATAGTGTTTGTACTTTTGTATGTTATTTAGGCACATCTTGAGAAAAGTAGAAAATGTCTACTATTACTAAGTAAAACTAGAATTGTAAAAAGGACATGAAAATGTGCATCACAGCCATTTAAGGTGAGAGAACGACTACCAAGCAAAGTTCTGGGTACCGGGACACTGATCCATTTAGGCAGATAAATCCTAAAATAACCAGCAACCCGAACACGGTACGGTTACGCTAGATCCAGTGGATGGTGTGGGTATATATGTTTATGTGCTTAATATATATTTTTTGTGATAAAAACTGACGAGATGAAAAAGTCGTGCGTCTATTGGTTGGCGACACGCCTGTCTATAACAGTCGCCGGCCAGAGCTTTAAATCACAAAGATCTGAGTCACTGCCACTGCGCCCATGACCCCCATAACCCTGAGACATAAGTTGACAAGTCCCGTGTGCCTATAATTTCAGCAGCACCCTTACCCTTACCCTTCAAAACTAAAACTAAACTAAAACGCACGTTACAGCTTGGCGGCAGATATAGGTAAGGTAGTAGGTAGTAGCAGCACTTCCTGGACTGTACAGCTACTAAAATACATATATATAAATAAAGTAATATATAAGAAAAAGCCCCTTACATCACCAAAGGTCCAAGTGCGATCATCGACGACGATGAAGCAAGGCGCTGTGGGATCCATTTCGGCTCTCTGCGTGAACAGTTCGGCCACAGTGTTGTTGTGCCGCCCCCAACGCTTGGACCGCACCATGGCGTTTGCATACCGCCAGAGGAATCTGAAAATAAAGAGGATTGTCGAAATTAGAAACTGTACCAAACAATCAAAAATCAGACAAGGGCGTAGCGCTGTACAATAATTTGTGCCTGCCCGTATGTACCATAATACCCGCATCGTATAATTTAGAAATTTCTTCCTGGAATCGAGCCAACCTTAGTCTAGAACAGAGGTTCTTCCAAACTCCCAAACTTTTTGTCACGAATTTTTTCTGTTTTGCGTAGACCCCAGCCTTTCTAACATGGATTTTTTTTACCACATTCCTCAACCTCATATGTGGTTTTAACTGATGGCACAATGCTACTCACTTAGGCAAGTTTAACTCGTCGAGTAGTTGAACATATGTTCAACTGTATAGTAAGAAACGTTATTAAAAAATACATATTAAATTTTATACATACATTTATCTATATGTTACAAAAATTATTATACTATCTATGTAATGTATTATCCTACTTATAAAAAGTCAAGATTTTAGTAAAGGTCTGCCTAAAGGGTTCCACTATCGTGAAACCTTATAAACGTTTCATGCACGCCCTTTTTTTCGCTGCCATAGATCACGATGTAGACCATTTTGCGAATCATCGGTCTAGAAACTGATGAAAATTTCCGTACTGCAGCAGCTAAAATATTCCTGACGTGCAATACTTGGTCGGCAGTTATTTAAAAAAAAAATGTGAATTACAAAAAAATCTTGAATTTACTTTAAATGCTCCTCCGCAGACCCAACTCACCGTCGTCGTTGCGACGTCACGGCATAAAAAGACGCGATATGCAAATAAGGTTCATTAAGAAACATAACAGGGAGTGGATCGAGTGGAATATACACTCAGCGGTACGGAATCCGAGCACTAATCTCGCAATTGCATATAGTTTTAACTGTTTCTAATAAGTATTTCTCATGAAGGTGTGTAGAAAAAATGTTTACCCTTATTTCATGAGGGCAATTCGTTATTTTTGAGTGCACTGTCACACAATTTTTAAGTTTTACTGAATCGGGTCATTTGGGTAACATGGTTGTGGGATAAAGTTTAAGGTTTGAAAATTGTCTGTTAAGTTACCGACGTTTTGTGTATTTGAGTATTTAATTCCATGTTTAAACGAGAAAATTTGTCAATAAAAATGCCCTTAACACCAACCCAAGTTGCACAGGCCGTAACTTTAATCGACCAAGGGCTGTCAACGTGAAGTGGCTATCATTCTGAACGTGTCACGTTCTTCAATGCAGTATGCCTTAAAACGATACCAGGAGACAGGCCGCTATACTCGCAGACCAGGCAGTGGTGGTGGGTGGTAGGTGCACATCGGTTCGGGATGACCGTTTCATTGTTCTGGAAATTATGAGAAACCGCTTCCTTACCGCTGTAGAGATTCGCAATCGGCTCCAAATCGCGAGACAAGTTAATGTTAACGAGCGTACCGTGAGAAGACGCATGGAAGAAGTTAATTTAAAAGATCATAGACCAGCAAGAGGTCAACAACTTCTCAGACAGCACCGAGTAGCTCGACTTAGGTTTGCACGGGAACATGCTAACTGGACATATGATCAATGGGCTACAGTTCTGTTTACAGATGAGTGCAGAATACCATTACGTGCTCCAGATGGCCGAGAACGAATGTGGAGAAAAAGAGGTCAAGGTTTTCTATGGTTTCTACCCATTACCACCACACAAATCGTCAGCTTTCACGGGGTCCCACAATGGTATGGGCAGGAATAAATTCTAACGCTCGCACGGAGTTAGTGATTGTCGACAATCGGCTGACTGCCACACGATACATCGAGGAAATAATTCAGGATCATGTTATTGTGTATTCGGAGTACATTGGACACGCCCAATTTCTTTTAATGCATGATAATGCACGCCCGCACATCGCACGTTGTCTGAATGAATATCTTGAAGAGGTTGGTTGGTATTCAAAAATTGCAATGGCCAGCTCGTAGCCCGGACCTATATCCCATAGACATACATCCACACATGGGACACACTTAAAAGAAAAGCAAGGTCCACTCCCAACCCGCCACAAACACTTAATGAGCTCCGAAATGCAGTTCTTGCCGCTTCGGAAAACATTCCTCAAATTGATGTCAGAAACATTATTCAAAGCATGCCAGATCGAATCCAGGCTGTAATTAGAGCAAGAGGAGGAAACACCAAATACTAAAACGTATGAACATAAAGAAGGTTCGCTAAGTTTTAATTTGCCTTTGTTTTAAAATTTCGTGTTTGAAAATCGTTTTTCTTGTAAAAGTATGTGTGTGTAATTTAAAAAAAGTATGTTTTTGGTGTACAAACACTATATAGGTGTAAAAAAACATAAAAATAACACATATTGAATGTAACTAGACTTTATTTGGTAATAAAATAGTATTTTAATATAAGTTATCGCAATAATCCAAGTGTGGCCAAGTTTCCGTGCCGGTGATGTATGTTAGAACCGTTTCCAGACAAAGAGGGCCGTGACTCGCTTATACTTCCTTCATAATAATAACACATACGTCCTTAATCACACCTCCACCATATAGCACCAAATTGGTTATTATATAAAGAAGAATAAAATTTAGAAGAATATATAGATGACTGTTCTGCCTAAAAAATAGGTGAGGTAAACAATTAATATATATAAACATAGATACATAGATACACCCACATACATAATGTATATATACATTCGAGAAGTGTCTCACAAAATAGTTGAATGGAACACTAAGCTTTTCATTTGTTAAAATAATCATCTAATAACATTGGAATGGTCTACAATTCGTCAACTTCGCGCGGTGGAAACGTGTCAGCTGTTTTAAACAACCTGTAACCACTATTGTAGAAAGCCATCAAAAATGTTTGGCGTCCACCAAAAAGCTGCAATATACATTTTACTACGCTCACGGCACGGTGTAGCTCCATAAGTACAATGATTAAAAATCGATATAAAATCATACATAGAACACTAAAAGTCATATGGAGCTTTTCTCTCATCAATAATAAACTAAGATTGCGGTCGATAAGGTCACATGCTTGTTAACTATGGGAATCTCACTCTGAACGAACATCTGACGTTTTCAAGGGTTCTAACCTAAAGTGAAATGTTGGCTTTTGTCGAACCCTTTGTTATATGTTCCGCAGTGGATCAAAACGGGTGTCCTCTAATTTATTTCAACACTAATTACATCTTCGAAAAGTTTATGTATCTTCTTTGAAGTGAAGTAAATTGTCGCGTTCCACTCCACTAATAACGCTCTCTGTCTGGCTGCGTTCAACGAGTTTGAAAGACTCAATAGATCCAGCTCTTGCGTCTAGAGACACGGCATTATACAGTATCGGATAAAAAGTATCGTATTCGTAACAGTATCGAAACAAATCGACTACATAATTTTGTCCTACAAAATTTTCCGACCTTAAAGACAAAATTATTCAACATTTGTTATTGTAATTTAATAACATGGTTTTAATTAAAATTCTAGTAAATATGTTTTTGCGCAACTTACGATAGCGTGACATGAGGTATGTCTGTCGATGGTCGTTTGTTACTGAACAATAAATTTCTTCAATTTTTACATTGAAATATTAGGCCTGAGGCTAAATAGGGTCAAAAAGTACTAAAGAAGTAACGAATAAAAGATCGTGTACAAAAGGACAACATTCGATCCCTTTTTACATATACTTCCATCTGACTGTTATTCCTTAGTCATGTCCTTGATAAAGTCACAAGTGCTTTTATCACATGAAAGTCGATAAACAACACGAACTAGAGATGCACATTACGATTCAATTTTTATGAAGATGAAGATTTAAGATTCAAGTGTATGTAAAAGCAGTTTGGCAACATCTAAGTACAAAATAACACAAATATCGATTCAAGAGCATGTTAGTATGATCCGAATCGATTCAGAGGCATATGATCCTTAAGGCTCAAAATATTTGCTCGAGAATGCTAGCGCATTCCGCGGAAGATTTTTGCTCGTATCTACTTTCTACTTTACACAAATGACCACATAAAGTTCATCATGCTGTGTGCAATATCGTTACAAAAATTTGTTCCTATTCCGTTCCGCCGCAATATAAATTGAGCCTTACGTTCCAAAAATCAACTCGAAGCAAAAAACATCGTGCATCCTGAACACGAACTACATGAAATAAATGATGTATAGATATGGGAAATTATTTACCATATCATTATAACTCTATTATTTTTAACCGACTTAAAAAAAAGAGGAGGTTCTCAATTCGACTATGTTTTTTTTGTATGTATGTTACGCGATAACTCGGGTATTTGTGAACCGATTTTCATCATTCTTTTTTTGTTGGAAAGAGGGCACCTCCATAGTGGTTCCATTTAATTTTGAAGAAACTCATCCACCTCTAAGGGTGGCTGTTAACGCTTAAAGATTCATTTTTATTAATAGCGCCTAAATTTTATTATAAGCAGCAATTATTTCAATGGTTGATTTTGCTATTCTCCAATTCAATGCGTTTTTCTCTCTCAATGTACTTTGAGTAGTGAGAACCGATTTTTGTTATCTCCTATGTCAAGTCCCATAGTAGCGAACTAGGGGATGAATCCGGGTTTGCGAACTTTCCGGTAACCGGTTTCAATAAAACTTGGTAATTATATGTAATTTCACGTACTTTTGAGGTCGGTTGTTTAAGCATAAAAAGTTATCGACTGATTTCGTTCATCGAATATTTAAACTTCTGGTGAAAAATTGTAATTTTAAATTACAATTACAATTTTCAAGCATCAAACTTCTTACACCAAATATAGAAAGCAGTCTGCAATTGCGGACTTAAGCTTTCATTAATTATGAAAAAAGAATTCCAGAACAGCTTCGTTCCAAATTCTACTAACTACGTTGCCAAACTTACTTTTGAATTTTTACTGTTCGTCCTAGTTTAAGCCCGCAGTGTACAAAAATCGATGTGCGGAGTCAAATCTACGTTAGGAGCAGGTTGTTTTTAGTCAGCGCAGTTGACTAACTCGCTTGAAAAAATATGGTTATATAAAAATTAGGTCGTATAAAATAGGATCAGGATGTGTACAGAAAAGCAAAGCAGTATTTTTAGTAGATAGAGATCTACTACGAAAATGTTTATAGCTTCTAGTATATTTGAGTTAAGGCGATATTCCATGGGAAAATGTAATAACGAATGAATAAATGAAATAAAATTGAATTGAATTGAAAAAACCGACAATAAACTTCGCAATTAATGGAGAGACCATTAATAGAGTACATTCAGTAGCAGTAGAGCTCTTTGAGAAAGAGTTCGTCCAGGGGAAGCCACATTACCTATTTCTGCCGCCAAGTAGTAATGTGAGCATTACTGCGTTCCGGCTTAGAAGAATAAAGGTGCTGGTGAATTTACAGGCACATGGTACTACTACTACTTGTCAACTTATGTCTCAGGGTGACGGCGCGGTGGTGGTGCCCATAAGCTCTTTGCGATTTAAATCTCGGAATGGCACTGCAGCTGTTATGGATAGGCGTGTCACTTACCACCAGGCTCACGACTTGTTCGTCCCTTCGTATTATAAAAAAATTGCATTAAATTCTATTAATGCACACTGGGACAAATACATAATAATACAAAAAAGAGAGGTAATTCTACCAAACATTTGTGAACATTTAGGTAGCAATATACCAGTTGCTATCGGTGGAGGAAAACATCGTAATGAAAGCTGCATGCAGAAAAAGGTTCACAACCTCTGGAAACGAGTAAGACGTCAACCCCGATGGGCCAGTGTGGCAGATTATTGCCTATACCTTGTCCTTAGAGGAGACCCGTGTCCAGCACTAACGGGGCA